TGTGTACTATAAATTATTTCAGCACCCCTAAATTCACACCCTATGTGCGCCTATGCTATACATATTATATTATAAATAGTTTATGGTGTGTATGCAATAAAAATATTAAACACAATAGTCCACATTGATTGTACATTTAAATTTGTTCATAAAAAAAAATCAAATAACCATTAACTATAGAGCCGAGAAGAAAGTTTGATTCAAAGAATAGTAATAAAAAAAAAACTTAACTAACTCACACTATACCTTATGGTAATACTCTTGCTGCACCTCACTAAATCTACATTTTAACTAACTTTTGTTCAAACATTAACTGAATAAAACAATTTCATAAAAATAATTTTTACCCTAGAAACTTCCGAGAGACGGGCATAAATTATTAATTATATCTTCTCAAAAATCGAAAACTTATGAAACGACGTTTATGCGTGTACAACGATTATCGTCGCACAGCGCTGCGCTAAGATAAAGAGAAGACGCAAACGGTCTAATTAATTAATAACCACGGGCCAGTAGTTATTTAAAGATTTTTACTGGAGTGGCTATTAGTATTAACTATTAGGATTCCCGACGYAGAGCATAGAAATTTCGCAAAAGTACCGTTTAATACTAAAAATGAATGAACATAGAATATAATACAACGTTGAAAATATATACCACAGCGCTGAGCGTTTGATTTTTCGATTTATGGCRAAAAGCACTTGAKTTTTATTCGAAAAAAATGAAATCCAGCAAACTCATTATAAGCTACACGAATATTATTTACGAGCGGAGAATCTTTGGAATATAATCCCAAAACGACCGCGGACGGTTGCCGAAATAAGTAGTCGTATTATAATATTTATAGGTACTGCGGAGATACCTTATTACTCGTTAAAATAAAATATAATATTCTAATGGCAGTGCAATGGTCGACGGTCTATGTATAGGTAGCTATATATGTATATATACATAGCGAACGCATATTCCGGCGTTTCCCCAAGTCCTACTCGTCCATTTCTCTCTACGTCCAAATTTCTCTCGGGTTCGGGTTCAAATCGACTGGGTTTACCRACAAACGAAGGCTGCCAATGAGAAGACACCTTTTTGCGAGGTTTTTTTATACAAGATAGGGCCTTTGCACGTGACCCACGAAGTATAAATATTAAAAGATTTACCGACATTTTCCACGATCCGTAATATACGACGTATAGGTATAATATTACTATATATAATACGTATACCTATATATCTACATAATTATTACGCAAAGCCTCTCGCTGTATATGTATATATATATNATATGATTAATTGTCCGCGGGACCGCGAACACAAACTTCTTGATATGACGAAACCGTGCAGCATTTTATTGTTTTCCGGAGAAAAGGATTATTCTCAAAGGCACGCACGCTTTCGCGAGTCGGCGTTGATAGATCGCCGAGACGAGATAAATAACGCGTGTCCTCGCGAAAAAGACATTTTGCAGTTCCGCGATCGCCTGCCTAACCCATATTATTGTACCTACACGTACCTACGAAACAAAGCGATTTTTCTCTTTTTCCAAACTTCCATCTTCATCTTCATCGATTTTCCTACCTACTCATAGTATAGATATCGGCTACTTATCGGAGGAAAATTACTCAAAATTACCCTAAAACTTAAAAGTATTCAAGATTCCGTTTCATTTTATAGGCGACGAATATTTTTGATTCGAGCACTTTTTTTTTACAAAGAGCTGCAAGCTAATGTTCTAGGATAAAAATATTCTAGTGAACGGTTGAAAAAAAAACCGTTTATATACACATACCTACCTACGACATAAAATTGTTYAAGTTTTCGCGAAAATAGGGTTGCCGCGTCTTAAATAAATATATGGTTTCATATAACAATAATATATATGCAAATTATGCGCACAGATGTTTTTGTCTGGTAAACGACATTATTGTTATATAATAATATATTTATAAATTTAAGTATATATTTATGCAATTGTAGGTACTCACTGTTTTTGGTAAACGTGACGATTTTAAGCACTTTGCCGTAACGCGAAAATATCTGCAAAAACAAAAGAAAAACACATTATTTCATTGTTATTTTATAGTAAGTTTAAGTATAAGTATAGTTGGCGACTGTATTATAATATGCGTGTTTGTTAGAATAGGTACCACGTGCAACACATTCAGCTAATATAATAATAATGCATTAAAAATTGTTCAATTTTTTTCGGTCTTTGGATYGCTGATCCCTTCAACCCTCACCCACCGTCGTATTCGTGACGTTTTCTTAGAGGTATATTATGTAAAATTATTGCATTTTGCTGCACACCCACGGRCGGCCGCAATTAAACAAACTAACGAAAATACCGGTAAAACGGTTTTTTTTCCACCACGACCGCGTATTTTTTTTTTACAGTGCTATAATAAAACGGTAATATTAAATAAGTAAATTTTATAATAAATTAATTTATTAAGTTATATCCACTATGCGCGTACAATATATATTAGGTAGACATATAGGTAGTTCTTTTTTTCCACCAGGAATGTTTGCAGTTTTCATTATTAAGTTAAACGCCAAAAAAGAACCACTCATAAATGTTTTCRTACAAACAATTTTCGGGTTGTTATTTGTACCCAGGGAGTAAAAAAAATTAACGCGTATACTTTGAACAATAATTTTGTTTTATTATCGAATTCCTTTTAATTTCCATTACGAGTTGATTTTTCGTTGCGCCCAAACTACACATGCGTGATATATGATGATTATAATATTATTACMATAATGTTTAGAATAAAGTTTATTTCTTAATAATAAACTGCGAAGTATACAAAATATTATAAAACTGTATACGTACGCACGAAGCGAGATGACATATTATATAATATTGTTTTGGCCATT